ATTTCTCGCGCAGGCAACTCCGAAAGGGTTATCGTCGGAGCGGGGAACGTCGGTCATTTCGTTCCGATTCACTTAACCGGTCGTAAATCCTCTCCGTGACCTCGACTGGAGCGCACGTATGGGTCGGGCGTCGAGTACGCGCCGTACGCCGGGAGCGTAACTGCAATTTCGGCGACCGTGAACACCTATGCCTTCCTCTCGCGCTTCTGCCTAAGGTCGAGATCGGTCGCGTTACGTAAGGCGTGGCACGCGTGTGCGTTCAAGAACGCACACTTTACCCGTTGTACATCGAACTCTTTACGTAGTCGCTCCTGTTTGCTTTCCGAATTTCGCCAAGACAAACACCTGATCCCTCAGCCTCCGCGCTCTCCCGGCAGTTCGATAAATTAATGGCCGGGGTCTGCTCGCAACTTGCTGGGAATCCGTGACGGGACGGAGCGAAGGTTCCGCGAGTCGCGAGAGTGACCAAGTGTGTCACGAGGATGGAATTCATCGCGCTTCGCTTCCGCCAAACACCTGAAATTTGACTAACGTTCCGCTGGGCCCGATAGAATGGGGCCCGAAAGATAGTTCTTTCGCGGTTCTTCTCGTTAGGGCCCAATTAAAATAATTTTCCACTGTTTCTCCAGTGACGAAATAATCAAAGATAACCTAGGTGGTCGCGTTGTACATTCATCGTACTACGATCAACGGTTGTTAATCGTTAATAAAATAACCGCCCCTGTTATTGAAAAAAATTCCAAAATCGAACTCCGTCACTGCACCCCTTAAATCGTAGTCTGAAATTGATAGAAAATCCAAATAATAATTAATACGTGTGCCTGCGAATTCAATGGAAATTCGAAATTGCGAGAAATTAGAAAAAATGAAGAAAAATTATTAAAAGTCAGGGATGCATCGCGTTAGTACTGTCCTGCATAGTACACTATTAAACTTTCCGAGCGGCAGTGACGTAATCGCGTGGAAACGAATTCGGCCGTGCAACCGCGGCCCCCTTCCACGTCCCGCGGCGTTCTTGCCGAGTGGCGCCACGTTTCCGCGTTGCGGCCCTGGCACGTGTTAGATTAGAAAGTGGCGGGGATGCGCGATACCTTAGAAGCGTTAGAGGGGGTACGTTGCGTCGTGGAGGAACGGCTAAGAGACAATGACAGAGTGAGAGAAGAAACCTGGGAAAGAGACAGAGAGGGGAGCGATCGCGGCGAGCGTACGAGGAACGGAGAGGGGGAAGACTGTGGAAGAGATAGAGGATAGAGGGGAGGGGGTACAGAGCACCACGCGAACTTGAGTTTTTGAGTTAAGGGGGCAGACTCGGTGAAACGTAATAAAGCCGATTTTCGGCAATCTTTTTATATCTATTCTTCGATGTTCCAATATGTAATAATTTTTTTTCCATTTTTTTTATATCAAATTCTTATTTCAATTATGTAATAGACATAGCTCGAATAATTGACTTTTTGCATTCGAATGACGAACCTCGGTCGTCACTTAACGGGATTCTGAAGACCAGTAGTCAATAAAAAATTCGAAATAATTTGAATATACGCGAAATAGCGAAATAAGATAATGATATAGGTTAATGTATGTGCAGTTGACTTTTTTATTTTATCGTGAGAAGTGTCACCGATTTTATGACGGTATAATGTATCACGTTAAGAATTAATTCAGTCGATTAATTATTCTTCCGATTATGATGCAATTTGAAAAATATTTATTCGTAATATAATTTTCGGCTTTAACTATCTACATCGCGTTCCTCGTACATAAATCATTACACTCAATATTACAAATAAAGTAGCCACGAGCAGTGAAAATCTTAGTTACTGATGTATAATACATGATATACTTTGAATTAGTTTAATCAATTAATTATTCTTTATCTCACGGTACAAGTCAATCGGAAAAATATGGTCTCGATAAACCGTGTTATAAACTGGAACTTTCAAAATTTCCGCTTCAATTTCGCTCTTTAACATCCACGCCACATTCCTCGTACACACGTAAGAGCATTGTTTTATGCAATAAAAAAAAAATCGATTTCTTTGACCCATTACTCGAGTCTCCCCGCTCGAGCACCGCCCCTCCTCAAAAAAGCCGAATCTTACCCCCTCCACCGCCTCGCGCTTCTCCTCCAGCGGCGTCCCTCCTCCCACCTACGCGACCTTCCCTCTTCCTCCACCGTGCTACCGCCAGCCGGCCCCCCCGAAAGTACACCGAACTCACACTATTTCGTCTAACCGCATTTGCATCGGCACCGATGACCCATATTCACGTTCTTTCCTCGCGACACGACACCACCGACGTCTTCGTTCCTCCTTCTCTCTCCAATCTTAGTTTCCTTGCTCTCTCGCACTCTAGCACACCGTCGTCGTAAACGCCGTCACCGTCTTCGCGGCTATCCGTTCTTCCACGGCCCGGCAGCGTGAGTGGGACAGAGACAGAGCGCGAGGCGCGCGTGCAGAGACAGAGACAGCGCGAGCGCGGGCCAGCGCGCGGGAGAGAGAGCGAGACAGTGACGGACAGTTACGCGTGATTCGTTGGTTCGGCGATGCGCGATGCAAGTCGGTGACTCGATTTCGGCCGGGTGAAACGTAGACTCGGCCCCATCAGTGTGTACGCGACCAGTGATCGGGCACACCAGCGACACGACGCGGCTGGAACACGCGACTTCGGGTGCCAATAGCTCCGTGTACTATTCGACTTGGCCGTTTCGCGTGGAACTCAAGGCGCGGGTCGTTATTCCGTGGTTCGACCATTGATCGCAACCAGTGAGCAACACTTTCGCGGGATCATGTGCCGCGTGGACACGTGTACGCGAGACCGGTGCGGAGAGTACTGCTACAGCTTGGTTCAGTGAGTTCGCACGAGCTCGAGCCGGCCACCGGATATTGGAAAAGTGAAGCGGACGTAGCGGAGACCAGTTGCATCTTGTGGCCCCGAAGTGGTAGTAGAGACGTGTGCCGATCGTTGCGGATGGTGCGCGCCCACCGATGTGTCCGTGTCTCTGTCCACGTTGATACGACGGTAATACGCTCCTGAGCATCGGTAGGTCCCGCTCGAGCTTTATCGATAATTAACGGAAATCCTACACGGATTCGCTCGCGATTCGCGCGCTATTTATCCGATCGATCCTTCCACTTAAACTCTTGGAAAGTTTACTCTTTGGCAAATCGTTTAGGTTTTACCGATCTTTAGCCCCCTGTGTTACGATTTAACGGTGTCGGTGATTATGAGAGGTGCCTAAGTCAAAAATTCGAAAGACAGGATTTTGTTCCTTATTTTTGGGTTATATTCGATATTATGAAAGAATTCGTAGCTTTGTCGTAATTAATTTTGTTAATTAGGTCACTTCATAGTCATCGACTCACTTATGGAAAACAGTATACCGGAAACGGATACTTGATTTTGATTAATCATGATGCACATCTATCTCGTGAATAAATTTATACGAAAATTTGGGGATTTGTATAAATTTTATGTATACGTTGAAACTTTAATATAGTAATTTTAGTTACGTGACGAGTGTAACGTATCATTGGACGATCTGACGTGAAAATTGGTAACGAGATATTGTAACAATGCGAATGATAATAATAGCGATACAATAGGGATTAGAAATTATGTATAATTCCATTTTTATTCGTGTAAAAATCGAAATTAATTTTGTCGGAAGCACATATATATATTTTCGGAAACTTTCACGTCGGTTTCAGTAGCTCTGCTGTTAGGTTAGAAACTCCTCGATGATCTTTAACCCAAGATCGCTCACGTGAACCCCTAGAGCACGAGTGTTCGCGTATGACACTCGTAATTCGATAAAAAGTAAGATTTATTAATTAAAAATGGCGTCTCCAATAATAACACTAAATGACTAATTGCAAACGCACTATACTCAAACGATAGTACTCAGAGTGGTACGATGAAATCCAAGAATTAGTATAAATTACGTAAATTATGAGAGAAGTGGCTATGCATCTCGAGGGAAACCGATAAAGTAACTAAAACGAGTCGTTTTAGTAACTCTAGTGACTTTTGCTAGTTACCACAGACCTAACGCAGACCTAGCTATAAAATATCAAAATAAAATAATAATTCTCTTTCGTAATTAATTTATACAAGATTCTTCGTCGACTCTAATTACCATGCTCCTCTTCCGAAGAAATTCCCTAGTGTGAAGGGTTGGTCACAATCACAAATTTATCATCCGTATATCCTCGTGCGATTCGAACGGATCTATAGTGAATTAGAGTATAAAATTGATAGATGAATCGCACCCATTTAATTCTACGACTATCGGTTCATCAGCTCGTGGGCCCAATTCGCGAAATATGTCGAACGTGTCACGATACTGTGGACATTTCGAATATCTGGGGCCGTGGATCGAGTAATTGGCTCGTAGACTCGTATCCGACGAAGCTGTTATTGTCGGTAACAGTTGCGCCGCGGAGATTAGGGTACCCCGTTGCGGACGATCGGATGCACAGCGTCTCATTCCGTGAGCCTTACACGCGCCAATTCGGGGGATGGGTCCTCCTCCACGGGGTTGTTGAGAAATCGGCTTGTCGCAGGTATCCTCGTTGTGGCGATGGTGCTATAAGGGACGAAAGGAAATGGAAGGGATGCGGCGTTTCGTCTCGGGGCCTGCTAGCTAATGGGACACGTCAGTAAGGCCCCAGTGGGACTCGTCAGTAAGGCCCTAAGTGGGACTCGTCATCAGTAGGGCCCTACTGGGATTCGTGAAGTAAGGTCATAGTGGGACCTCGTCAGTAAATGGGCCCTAGTGGGAACCTCGTCACAGTAAGGCCCTAGCAGGCCCTGCCTTAGATACTATTGGAATATCTAGGAATACTATTGGAAAGTCTAGAAGTTATATAGGCAGCGGAGGTTTTCCGAGGACTTGCGAGAAAGTCCTCGAACCTCCTTAAATTCGGAATCCATCTAGCGGCGAGTTTGAGAATGACGGTCGCTACAGATTCTAACGGATTGCATTGCTTTCTGTGCAGCTGGACGAACTGTTGGGCACGAGCGAGATCAAGAAGGAAAATACCTACTTGAAGGTGGCAGAGACAGGGGTGGCGAAGGTCACGGGGTCGGGCCTAGGGGTGGCATCATGGACTCTCATCAGCACCAGTTCTGTCTCAAGTGGAATAGTTTCGGTAGCAACTTAGCGACAGCGTTCTCGAATTTGTTCAAAAGCGAGAGTCTTACCGATGTCACCCTATTCTGCGAGGGTAAGTTGCATTTGCATGTTACTACTTAATCACTTTCTCCATTCCAGCAGGTATCGATGGTCATGAAAGCTGCCTAAAAGTGGGTCTTATTATTTTTATTATTTCATTATTTTATTCATAATAAACGGACCGTAGTCCATTTACATAAAATTTCACGTATAAAAGATAAGCAAACAAATTGTACATAATATAACACCGAAGGGACGTGTTTATAATATAATATTGCTTATAACATTGTTCAGGAGAAATAGCTTTAACCACTAACAATAACAATAGAGGTTGCGCTACAGTATAACACGTGTAAGGTGTCACATTGACGTCGCGAGATACTGCATCGATTCTGAAATATTTCCAAGATTTTGATGACACCATGCCGTGCACTCTGCAACTGTAGCTCGAGAAATGAACAATCTGGTTGTTAGCCGACGTGCAGTCCACGTCATTTTTATTTTCGCGATAAATCCCCATCGACGTGGTGTACACGTCGCTGGCGATTTTGGAATAAAAGCTTCTCGACGTGCGTGGCACGTCTTTCCACCGCAAGTGGTTAAAGCAGGTGTATGTGTTCGGTGATTGCAAAAAGGAAAATTCTGGGACCAGTCAGTAGTTCTAGTGTTAAGTCAGTGCTAATACGATAAATTGGATTAATTAATTCATATGTAAACCTGGACATATGTATATGAAAACCTGCTCTAGATCTCAATACACGTTCTGACACGTAGAAATCAATTTGCACAAGAAGAGAGGAGAAATTAATGCGATTATTAATTAAATTAAAGATAAAAATTTGTTAAGCTATTCTTCATCGTGCAGACAGTGTTTCCAGGTTGGCAGTATTTAATATTGTGGAGTAATCATGATCAAAAATTGATATTGGGATTTTTAGCTTATATGCACAAAAATTGAGGGTCTTCTGGTCTAGGGGGTCAAGAAAGCGATGTCTTTTTTATTTTTCATTTTCTTGGCATTGAACCTAGTTTAAACGACCGTTTCCAAATTTTTAATTCAAAATTCTGCATTCGGTGTTATTAATACAAGTATTATTAATTTTATGATAGTCTCTTCTGTTTCATTTACTTTGAATTTGTAATTTGATTGGTTGTGGTAAGTTTAGCGTTAATGTGTTTGGATCTTGAAGCATACGTGTGCAAACCTATTTAATAAAATTCGTGAAATTGAAATCCAACACGTGATTTATTATTTTTTTGTTTTGATTTGATGAGAAAGTTTAAAGAGAAAAGAAAATCGATGTTTCAACTTTAAAGTGCCGCCATTTTCTCGAATCCTGAGATTTTTTGTATCTTTTCATTCCAACCATAAGCGTATCCTTGCTGAACATAATGCTTCCTAATTTGTCTGTTTTGAGTGAGTAGAAGAGCCGCAATCATGTCAACATGATAGACATGTTTTCTTAGATCACCTTTGTACATATATTTTAGTAACTTTTATAATTGTTATTATTTTTTATTGAAAAAATTTTGGAGTACTCTTGAAATGTGTATCAGTGGGTGAAAAAAATACTGAGTTAATAACGCTTATGGTTTCTTCGGAAAAAATTAACGAACAAGTGCTTCGTTTCTTACCTGTAGACCAGAAGAATACTATATATCTTGTTTCGAGATATTACGAGTTTTCAGTTTAGATAAATTGAAAAATCAATTTTATGATCCTCTAAATACACTTTTAAAGTATTGTGAAGTAAATTGACGGAATACAAAATTCAGAAGAAATTTATTTTTTTTGGATTTTTACTTGGACCAAGTAGTCCAAGTTTCGATACTCGTGAACAATCATTGCAGTAATAAGGCGATATTACCAGCAATGGTATACGAACGAAATTTCCTCAATCATTCGTCATTCAATATCAAAATACGAAAATTACATGTCGCAAGCTTCGAAGTAAACAAAAATCGTAGTGGAAAAACGATTACCTTCCTAAATTTTTTCGAATTTCAACAGCGAAACATTTAATCGGTAATCACCTTTTCAAATTCAAAATAAATTTTTGATCGCACGTTTCAAGATTCGTAAACCACTTCGTCCATACCATCTTAACGAAATCGCGATAATTCATTCAATAATTATACCTAAATCACGTTTCCTTATTCACTCATCACTGCGTAATAAAATCCAAAAATTTCGCGATATTACTTAAAACCCATATTCACGTTCTTTCCTCGCGACACGACACCACCGACGTCTTCGTTCCTCCTTCTCTCTCCAATCTTAGTTTCCTTGCTCTCTCGCACTCTAGCACACCGTCGTCGTAAACGCCGTCACCGTCTTCGCGGCTATCCGTTCTTCCACGGCCCGGCAGCGTGAGTGGGACAGAGACAGAGCGCGAGGCGCGCGTGCAGAGACAGAGACAGCGCGAGCGCGGGCCAGCGCGCGGGAGAGAGAGCGAGACAGTGACGGACAGTTACGCGTGATTCGTTGGTTCGGCGATGCGCGATGCAAGTCGGTGACTCGATTTCGGCCGGGTGAAACGTAGACTCGGCCCCATCAGTGTGTACGCGACCAGTGATCGGGCACACCAGCGACACGACGCGGCTGGAACACGCGACTTCGGGTGCCAATAGCTCCGTGTACTATTCGACTTGGCCGTTTCGCGTGGAACTCAAGGCGCGGGTCGTTATTCCGTGGTTCGACCATTGATCGCAACCAGTGAGCAACACTTTCGCGGGATCATGTGCCGCGTGGACACGTGTACGCGAGACCGGTGCGGAGAGTACTGCTACAGCTTGGTTCAGTGAGTTCGCACGAGCTCGAGCCGGCCACCGGATATTGGAAAAGTGAAGCGGACGTAGCGGAGACCAGTTGCATCTTGTGGCCCCGAAGTGGTAGTAGAGACGTGTGCCGATCGTTGCGGATGGTGCGCGCCCACCGATGTGTCCGTGTCTCTGTCCACGTTGATACGACGGTAATACGCTCCTGAGCATCGGTAGGTCCCGCTCGAGCTTTATCGATAATTAACGGAAATCCTACACGGATTCGCTCGCGATTCGCGCGCTATTTATCCGATCGATCCTTCCACTTAAACTCTTGGAAAGTTTACTCTTTGGCAAATCGTTTAGGTTTTACCGATCTTTAGCCCCCTGTGTTACGATTTAACGGTGTCGGTGATTATGAGAGGTGCCTAAGTCAAAAATTCGAAAGACAGGATTTTGTTCCTTATTTTTGGGTTATATTCGATATTATGAAAGAATTCGTAGCTTTGTCGTAATTAATTTTGTTAATTAGGTCACTTCATAGTCATCGACTCACTTATGGAAAACAGTATACCGGAAACGGATACTTGATTTTGATTAATCATGATGCACATCTATCTCGTGAATAAATTTATACGAAAATTTGGGGATTTGTATAAATTTTATGTATACGTTGAAACTTTAATATAGTAATTTTAGTTACGTGACGAGTGTAACGTATCATTGGACGATCTGACGTGAAAATTGGTAACGAGATATTGTAACAATGCGAATGATAATAATAGCGATACAATAGGGATTAGAAATTATGTATAATTCCATTTTTATTCGTGTAAAAATCGAAATTAATTTTGTCGGAAGCACATATATATATTTTCGGAAACTTTCACGTCGGTTTCAGTAGCTCTGCTGTTAGGTTAGAAACTCCTCGATGATCTTTAACCCAAGATCGCTCACGTGAACCCCTAGAGCACGAGTGTTCGCGTATGACACTCGTAATTCGATAAAAAGTAAGATTTATTAATTAAAAATGGCGTCTCCAATAATAACACTAAATGACTAATTGCAAACGCACTATACTCAAACGATAGTACTCAGAGTGGTACGATGAAATCCAAGAATTAGTATAAATTACGTAAATTATGAGAGAAGTGGCTATGCATCTCGAGGGAAACCGATAAAGTAACTAAAACGAGTCGTTTTAGTAACTCTAGTGACTTTTGCTAGTTACCACAGACCTAACGCAGACCTAGCTATAAAATATCAAAATAAAATAATAATTCTCTTTCGTAATTAATTTATACAAGATTCTTCGTCGACTCTAATTACCATGCTCCTCTTCCGAAGAAATTCCCTAGTGTGAAGGGTTGGTCACAATCACAAATTTATCATCCGTATATCCTCGTGCGATTCGAACGGATCTATAGTGAATTAGAGTATAAAATTGATAGATGAATCGCACCCATTTAATTCTACGACTATCGGTTCATCAGCTCGTGGGCCCAATTCGCGAAAAATGTCGAACGTGTCGCGATACCGTGGACATTTCGAATATCTGGGGCCGTGGATCGAGTAATTGGCTCGTAGACTCGTATCCGACGAAGCTGTTATTGTCGGTAACAGTTGCGCCGCGGAGATTAGGGTACCCCGTTGCGGACGATCGGATGCACAGCGTCTCATTCCGTGAGCCTTACACGCGCCAATTCGGGGGATGGGTCCTCCTCCACGGGGTTGTTGAGAAATCGGCTTGTCGCAGGTATCCTCGTTGTGGCGATGGTGCTATAAGGGACGAAAGGAAATGGAAGGGATGCGGCGTTTCGTCTCGGGGCCTGCTAGCTAATGGGACACGTCAGTAAGGCCCCAGTGGGACTCGTCAGTAAGGCCCTAAGTGGGACTCGTCATCAGTAGGGCCCTACTGGGATTCGTGAAGTAAGGTCATAGTGGGACCTCGTCAGTAAATGGGCCCTAGTGGGAACCTCGTCACAGTAAGGCCCTAGCAGGCCCTGCCTTAGATACTATTGGAATATCTAGGAATACTATTGGAAAGTCTAGAAGTTATATAGGCAGCGGAGGTTTTCCGAGGACTTGCGAGAAAGTCCTCGAACCTCCTTAAATTCGGAATCCATCTAGCGGCGAGTTTGAGAATGACGGTCGCTACAGATTCTAACGGATTGCATTGCTTTCTGTGCAGCTGGACGAACTGTTGGGCACGAGCGAGATCAAGAAGGAAAATACCTACTTGAAGGTGGCAGAGACAGGGGTGGCGAAGGTCACGGGGTCGGGCCTAGGGGT